CTACAGTGATCCTCGGGGACCCAGCCTACCCACTAATGCCCTGGCTCATGAAGCCCTATACTGGCGCCCTGGACACAGAAAAAGAACTGTTTAACTACCGGCTGAGCAAGTGCAGAATGGTGGTGGAGTGTGCTTTTGGCCGTCTCAAGGGGAGATGGAGAAGCTTACTCACTCGCTGTGATCTCAGCGAAACCAATATCCCCATCGTTATTGCAGCTTGCTGTGTGCTCCACAATCTGTGTGAGAGCAAGGGGGAGACCTTTATGGCGGGGTGGGAGGTTGAGGCAAATAGCCTGGCTGCTGATTACGCCCAGCCAGACAGCCGGGCGATTAGAAGAGCCCAGCGGGACGCGCTGTGCATCCGGGAGGCTTTGAAAGCCAGTTTCAAGGCTGAGCAGGGTACCCAGTGACTTTTAAGTTTGTGGACACAAAGGCAGAACTTGCCCCCCTTTCTTTACCCAGTTGCCGTCGACTATCCTCTCCACTTACATACCCCCTTCACCCCCTTCCCAAAAAATAAAGTCTGTTCTGTTTTGTTAATGGACACCGTTGTCTTTATTACTGTTTTCGCGGGAATGTTTTAAACCTGGGACACAGACTGTGGCGGGGGGCGGGTTTAGGGTTGTGATGCAAATGATGCCTCTAAACTCCAGGAATGACAGGCTCCGCGGTGGTGGACTGGTTGTTTCAACGGAGCCTGCCAGCCCTCCTGGCCGGGACTGCGTGTATGTGTCGGCTATGTGACTGTCTTGCAGGGGGAGGAGGGTTACAGATCCCCTGCTGCGCGGCTCTGTGATCCAGGGTAAGGACCGCTGCATAAGATCTGTAACTGCCCTCCCCCGCCACCAAGTCACAGAGCAACACCACCCCCCCCACCACACAGAACATGAAAACCACCTCCCAGACTGACCAGGATAACTAGTCACTGCACTGTATATGTGCCCTGCTGCTGCACCTGCCCCCTGCTAAAGGTGACTGTCCTGTCCAATGACCAAGCCCCTTCCCCCCCCCTTCAGACAGACTCCCCTCCAAAAGAAGAGGATGGAAACAGAAATGAACAGAAACGTATTCTTTATTAACAACCGCACATGGAACGGGGGCGTGAAACTTGGACGGGGTCTTGTGTGAGGCGGGTAGGAAAGGACTTTTCAAATTTTGGGGAATGAGAGCCTTCTAGTGGTAGAGCAGTCCGCAGGGGTGGAGTGAAATTTTTCACGGCCCCTTCCACCCCTCCGTGTTTGGACTTTGGGTGAGGGGGGTATGGGACTTGGTGGCGGGGCAGGGCAGTTACAGAGAGACTGCAGCGGGGCTCTCTCCTCCTGCCTCCGGTCCTGCAGAACATCCACAAGGCGGCGGAGCGTGTCCGTTTGCTCCCTCATTAGTCCAAGCAGCGTTTGAGTAGCCTGCCTGTCCTCCTGTCGCCACCTCTCCTCCCGTTCCATGTTTGCCCGGTGCATTTGGGACAAGTTCTCCCTCCACTGTGTCTGCTGGGCTGCCTGTGCTCGGGAGCATTCCATTAGTTCAGCAAACATGTCTTCCCGTGTCCTCTTCTTCCTCCTCCTAATGTGCGCTAGCCTCTGGGCAGATGTGGCTGTGGGAATTGGAAAAAGGGAGTGAATTCCTGAGACAGATCAATGTATCTGTGAACAGAGAACATAGTCTTTCTCTGTGAACAAGACCATGCAGAGCACCTATCACACGCGCACTGAGGACAAGGTCGAATTTTCGGCCCTCGCCTACAGTGCCTGCGGTCTTGCTGTGGCGAGCTGAGGAGCAGGGCAGGACACCGGACTTTGTCTAGATGGCAAACATGGTAAGCCGTAGACTTGTGGCCGCTTAAAACTTTAAGAGTGGCACTGGCCTCCTTTCAAATAGAAAGCAATGCGAGTCTCTGCTGGCAGCAATCCTGCAAGCATGAACTCTGCCCCTGTCCCACCCCCTCGCGGCTGTAAACCGCGTGGCTGTAAACCGGCGGTTGCAGTTCTATAAAGGGACGGGCAAGCAGTCCCAATACTAACTTTCCCATACCTAATTCACAGCAGGGAGCCATGCCAGACATCACCCTCCTGAAGGTCTCCGAGAGCCAGAAGGAGAAGATGCTCCGGGACAGCCTGCAGAAACCGGGGCCATTTGCTGCACTGCTGTGCAAGGCCATGATCCCGGAGTACCTGCTGGCGTTGTGGCAGGGAAACGTGTCCTACCACGGGGGGCCTAATAAGCTCTCCCTGCCCAGGAACCTGCTGATGAGGCTGGAAAAACACCTGCAGGAGGTGTATGAGGAGTTCTCCCCGGAGGATCTCGCCTCTATCCCCGGTTACATTGACCAGTTCCTGGCTTAGGTGCCCTTGGAGGGACAAATGACTGCAGGGTTTTGGGCATTATAATCATGAAGCGGACATTGTGCAATTTTTTGAAAATGGTTCGGACTATATATTGAGGCGCCCAAAAAAAGACAAATCATGATACACTTTGCACTGATTCCCCTTTTGTTTGACTTTACTGTTTACATGTTTTGAAGCACTTTACCCACTGTTCATATTTTCAATCTTCCTGTTTTGTTGCAAATAAATGTTTACATGTTTTAAAGCACTTTAGCTAATGTTAATATTTTAAATACGCCAGTTATGTTGTAAATAAATGTTTAGATATTTAAAACACTTACTGCTTGATCCGTCCCCTGAATCTGTGTCTGGGGTAACGGCTGGGGAGGGTTGGTAGGGGATCTCTGTCAGGGTGATGAAGAGCTCCTGGCTGTCGGGCAAATCAGCGTTGTAAGCGCTGTCTACTGCCTCGTCCTCCTCATCTCCTTCCTCCTCTTCCCCGTCCGCTGAGGAACCGGCCGCGGACAATATCCCATCCTCAGAGTCCACGGTCAGGGGTGGGGTGGTGGTGGCGGCCGCACCTAGGATGGAATGCAGTGCCTCGTAGAAACGGGATGTGTGGGGCTGGGATCCAGAGCGTCCGTTTGCCTCTTTGGTCTTCTGGTAGCCTTGTCTCAGCTCCTTGATTTTCACGCGGCACTGCGTTGCATCCCGGCTGTAGCCTCTCTCTGCCATGGCTTTGGAGATCTTCTCGTAGATCTTAGCATTCCTTCTTTTGGAGCGCAGCTCTGAAAGCACGGACTCATCGCCCCACACTGCGATGAGATCCAAGACTTCCCGATCCGTCCATGCTGGGGCCCTCTTTCTATTGGATTGCACGGCCATCTCTGCTGGAGAGCTCTGCATCGTTGCCACTGCTGCTGAGCTCACCACGGTGTCCAAACAGAAACTGCGATTCAAACTGCCCAGACAGGAAAAGGAATTCAAATTTTCCCGGGGGAGTGGCTGGTCAGAGCATCCGAGCTCGGACTGCTGTCCAGAGCGTCAACAGAGTGGTGCACTGTGGGATAGCTCCCGGAGCTATTACCGTCGATTTCCATCCACACCTAGCCTAATTCGATATGGCCATGTCGAATTTAGCGCTAATCCTCTCGTTGGGGAGGATTACAGAAATCGATTTAAAGAGAGCTTTATGTCGAACTAAATGGCTTCCTGGTGTGGACGGGTGCAGGGTTAATTCGATATAACGGCGCTAAAGTCGACATAAAAGCCTAGTGTAGACCAGGCCTAAATGAGAATTAGTCTTCCTGGTGGGAAGAATCCGGAATGGCAGTCTGATGTAGGTTGAGTGATGGGAAATGCAGAATCATTTAAATGGAGAGAGAGGAAGGAGACTTTCTCAGTTCCTATAAGCAGAGTTCTATTTTTTTTACTTGTTTATTTTTAGAAAATATTTTTGGTTAATTTAGCTGAATTAAGCAAGTAAGTTTTATAAAAAAAATAATGGAACTTGCAGAGTCCTGTCTCATACATCAAAATGATGAGATGCATTTCTTGTGTCTCAGTTAATTATCAGACTGTTGAGCTGAAGGCTTTGTCTGATTGCTAAATATTTTTTTTAAATGCTGTGTAACTTTTCTTGGTAATTAGAAGTAGTGATTAAATTGTTTTCAGTAGTACATTGCAATTATTCTTGTAGAAGAACTTTATTATATTTTGAGACAAACTTCTATTTTATTGATTTCATTTATACTTTGGCAACACTTGTATAGCCTGTCATGCCAATAAAGTTTAATTGAATTGAACTGAGATGACCGTGTAATAGTTGCTAGTTCTGACTTGCAGGAATAGTCTTTTTGAAGCCCTTAGGACTACTTGCATGGGTACAGACTGCTCAAATATTTTATTGTTTACCAGTTGAGCCCTATAATGAAATTTTTCCCCATTATAACTTGTGCTATAGACAGCGTGAGCGTATATAATGTTTGCTGAGTTAATTAAGAAAAGAAGTAGTCCTAGTCTGAAAATACAATTTTCTTTGAAAGGGTGAGTGAAGCTGTCCTGAATAAAGATTAACACACTTAATACATCCATACAGGAAAGAGAGAGAAAAAGAACATAAATTAACTAAAACTGATTCATTTGCAAATATAATTACACACTGAGAAAATGTATGTATACTGTTATATAATCTAAATACTCATTGCACAGATTAAAGGTATTGAAAAGCCATTGATAAATCCTCCTAAAAACCTGTCAGTTATATAATTAACAATTATAGACATCAATCATATACAGATAAACTGTAGAATTCATTTGAACTAGTAAACTCATTAAATGCAAGTAAAATTAAAACATTCAAACCCTTATCTTTATAATCTTTCTTCAAAACAGTGTCATTCTAAAAATATACATAAAGATACTAAGATAAAAAAGTAAAATAAAATCCATTTACGCTAGGTGTTCTAATCAACCAACAGCAAAATAGGAGTTGAGATCATTTATCTGTTTAGGAATCAAATTCTGCTTAGTTACACTTGTGCAATCCCATTGGTCTCAAAGGGGTTGCAGAGGTGTACTGGGAGCAAAATTTGACTAGTAAATCTTTGAGTGGAAAGATTATTTTCCTACAAGTTTCTTTTTAAATTTTAGCTTGCTTGATGTATTTTTCCTATTTACAGGTCTTACAGGATTGAAAAATATTGGAAACACTTGTTACATGAATGCAGCTTTACAAGCTCTTTCCAATTGGTAAGAAAAATAGCTGTTAAATGTAACCTTAAAGTAGCTATGTGTATCTGCATGTCTTCAGTTACAAACCAGACCCTCCAAAAAATCCTTAATTTAAGTTTTAGAAAAATCATACCAGTATACACCTCATTTTGATGTGTTTGGTAGCCTCATCTTGCAGTAGCATGAATAGTGCTATTGCAATCAATGGTATTACTTAAGAGTTGCAGGATATGTATATAGTTTCCCTCGAATAGCAGTCTATGGGTTTGTTTTCCCTCCTCTTCTCTAATATCTCGCAGCCCTCAATCAAAAATTATAGTTTTAAAAATTAAAAAGAGAATTGGTCATAAATATCCAGGTCGTCTTCTAAGTGTAGGGCCATTCTTTGATACTTGAGTTGTTTCATTCTTCTTCAGACAGCTAAAGGTAATATGATGTGTGGGGCATAAACAAGCTTTGAATTCCTTTTTACCATGTTATTTTTCAGTCTGGAAAGTTTTCTAATTGCTATTTATAACAATTAAAATGAGGTGGCGTGTAATCTTTTAGTGACAGAAGTTTAAACTTGCAAATTTTATAAAAGCAGCTGATATAAAACGCCTTTGATTAAACACTTGAACTGCTTGGATCTTAAACTCAAAAACAGATCAAAGAATTTCAAGATCCTAATTATATACTAAACATACATAATGTACATAAGTAATGATAAAAATTGTAAGTGAAATAGTTTAGAAAGATTTTTTTTTTAATCCTAAATATTCATAGATCAGAAAGAGCTGCCTAGCTATATACTTGAAAGTATCAGTAATATTTGGTTAATTTTTGTTTCCATTTTTTATTAAATGTTTCCAATTATAAAATAGCCTGTCCTTCCCTTTTTTAAAAAAATGTAGATTAATTAACCTATTGACTTAAAATACATTTGTTGAATTTCAGTCTTGCTAGTTGTTCCTTTTATACAATGAACCAAAACCAAACTGAGACTTTAATTATTATGTTTAATTGCTGACTATTATGTTTTCTATTTGTGACTTCCCCCTCCAAAACTGTACTGAGTTAGGTTTTGGTATTAATAATTATAATCCCTAGCTATTATATAAGGCTTTTCACCAATAGATTAAATAGTACTTTACAAAAGAGATCAGTATCTTTATCTCCGTTTCCAGATGGGTACACTGAAGCACAGAGAAAGGAAGTGACTGCCCCATGGTCAACTCTGCAGGCCAGTGGTACAGTTAGGAATAGAACACAGGCTTCCTGGATTCAGTACAGTGATCTATCCACTTCTCATTATTTGCCCTGAGGTCCTTCCTATTATCAAAAAATGCTTTGGGATTTTTGAACGTCTTTTAATGAAAAAATAAATAAAAAGGTGGAAAATAGCCAGGAAATTTGGCAAGAAGAGAGGGAAAGGACCAAAAGCTTTTTAGAATATATTATTTGTTATGACAAAATATGTCTTATAGATCAGGAACCAGTTAACTACTGTTTCTGGTCAATATTAATGGTATGGGAGAGGTCAAGGTTATAGTTCCTAGAATTTCCTTGGGCCACCAGTTGATTTTAAGGGAACAACTTATTCTCTCAGTGCTGCTTAAAATAATAGATATTGGAACTAACCCACCTATTTGTTGCAAAAATTTTTACAGATTTTCCAGATCAAGCTTTTCTGTAATTCTAACCACAGAACTCAATATACATTTTCTGTATAGCCTGTCCCTACAATGATATATTTTAATACATTCCTTGTAAGACATTAAGGAATATTTTTAAAATATTAGCTATGAAAGGTATCTGAAAGTGTCTTTCAGAATATTACATAATCAAAAAGTGCCAGCTTTCAGCCATCTTGACTGTAGAGCAAGGATCACAGGGATATGCCACTATCCCCCAGTGGCTATGTTGGCTAGTGGGAACCTGACCTTGTAAGATGGCTCCCACTGGACAATTCCAGTGCCTCTAACAAGTGGCAGGATTGGTCTGTGAGGGGTATTGTGCCACTCATAAAGTGGCCCAAATAAGCAGAATATATGAATATTGCCCTAGGGTTTAGGAAAAGAAATCATTAAACGTTTACCATGTAAATGTCAGTAATTAGCGTTAGCTAACATGCTGTCAAAATGAATGTAGGGGGAGGTTTACACTTCTCTTAGCACTATTTAAAGAATAATAATCTTGCTTCCTTCCCTCTAATCAGCCCACCCTTGACACAGTTTTTTCTTGACTGCGGGGGCTTAGCACGAACAGATAAGAAACCAGCTATATGTAAAAGTTATCTCAAGCTGATGACAGAACTTTGGCACAAAAGCAGGTATTGTACCACTTTCCTTGTGAAATATGTTTATATATAAACTTTGGACAGCAGTGCAGCACAGGGGTGAACTTGTCTTAGCTCCAATTGTTTCCTCGTGTGTGATATTCCAAAGGTTTATTACAGGCTTGAATTTAATTAATTTAAAAATAACTCTAAAAGGTTGTGTGGTGGAGTTGGGGAAGTTAATATTTGTTTTAGTGGGAAAGTTACATGAAAGAGGCTTTTCTGTGTATCATGTGACAACTCAAAACAAATGTCATTTAGCTGCTGAGTGATGATGGCATCATGTTTGCCTTCAGGTTGAAAAGAATGATTTGCCCATTGCAGCTGTTCCTGTAGTTGAACCCATAATCATGCATAATGGCATTAGATTTTCATCCTAGGAAACATGACAAGATTGACTTCCTTACACAATGAAACATGTAAGTTGTTATAAATAAGAGTGCTCTTTTATGGATAATTGAGCCTCCAGTTTCCAGCACTTTAAGCTCAACCTGAGATAGAACAAACTTTGGTTTTCCATCTGCTGCATACAGCATCATTACACACATACATTTCCCATATTTCAGTGACTTTCATAAATTTCAATAACTTTTATTTAAAAGTTTCAGAGTGGTAGTCGTATTAGTCTGTATCACCAAAAACAACGAGGAGTACTTGTGGCACCTTAGAGACTAACACATTTATTTGGGCATAAGCTTTCGTGGGCTAAAACCTACTTCATCACATGCATGGAGTGGAAAATACAGTAGGAAGATATAGATACACAGTACATGAAAAGATGGGAGTTGCCTTACCAAGTGGGGGGGGAGGGGGTCAGTTCTAATGAGACAATTCAATTAAAGTGGGCTATTATCAACAGGAGGAAGAATCACTTTTGTAGTGGTAATCAGTGTGGCCCTTTTCAAACAGTTGACAAGAAGGTGTGAGTAACAGTAGGGGGAAATTAGTTTTTAGTTTTTGTAGTGACCCATCCATTCC